AAGCCCCGCTCTTCATCCGAGTCTTTGCTGAATTTCTTCTTGCTGTTATCGACCCACTTCTCAGGAATTTATCAAGCTCCCTCCCAGCTCCTTCACGCTCATTTATCTTCCACACTTTGCTAAGAGGCTGCCTCATCAAGGGCCACCAAAAGCCATCCAGAGGTGACTTTGCAGCTCTGCAACCCTCCGCAGCCACACGGGCCTTGGCTATCCCCCCACCACCACTGCACCAGCCCACATCAGCTGTTTCTTCCTATTCCCAAAATTGTTGAAAACAGCCTAAAACCAGCACAAAACACACTCCCTGCCTCCAGGAGGTTACAGTGAGACACAACCCATGCAGCCAGAGCCCGGCTCGGGGCAGGGACTGGCCACAACAAGTAGAGTAACCCAGCCAGGAGCTCGCACCACCAGAGCCCACCATCCTGTCTCTCTGCAGACACACATGTGTTCATCCTAAATCAATTGCAGGAAAGAGGAAATTATAAGCATGATTACTCCTAAACGGGGGGAATGTTTAATCCAAAAGCTAATGTGCACTTTGATCCAATATTAATGAACCAGCACCTGGTTGTGTATCGTCCCCAGCTTCAAAAGAGGGGAAGTCTTAATCAAACACTAATGTGTATCATAATTTGTAACACAGTCTAAAACATCAAAGACAAGAGCGTCTACGATGCACTAGTTTTTCAGATGAAAGTGTTTTCTCCCAGGAGAAGCATTATCCCCAGCAGAACGGTAGATCTGAGAGGCTGTTAGACAGTAAATAGGTTCCGATGATGGGGTGGGGTGGGCTGCGCCAGCCGAGGTTTGGGCCATTTCTAACAGCACCTGCTTCAGACGGGCAATCCCCGCTGCCCCTCATCGCACAGCACCACGGCTTTTGCCCCCTTCCCGACGGAGGAAGGTTTCAAGTGGCCTCGGCTCTGCCCTGGTGATGTCCGTGGAGTGGGCAGACCTGCCCTCCGGGGAGCCCAACGTGCTGGGGGACCCAGGACATTTTGTCCCTCCGCTCCCTGCCCCAGCGCCTCACTCCTGAGGCTGAGGAGCTGGGCTCAGGGCTACAAGCTGGGACACACTCCAGTTTGCTGTCACCCCAGCAGAGCCCCTGGCAGGTAAATGCAACCAGGGGATGATGTGCTGGAGGGGAAATGTCAAACACTCGCACTTCAGCTTAAGTCTGTGCCATTTAGAAGTTCAAAAAGCCCCTTCAGGATAGGAAACATCCTTTGCTTCCAAATAACTCTGCTCCTACTTGGAAGTCAACACAATTCCTTTGTTTTCTACCCTGAATCCAGGGGTATTAGAGACCCCGTGGAGGCACTGGCTTTGCTGTGCTCAGTATATGCCAGGCAGCAAACCCCGGGGGGCTGCTCAGAGCTGTCAAGCACCCCTGGCCACAGAGAATCACAGGATGTTCGGGGTTGGAAGGGAAGAGAAGGAGACTCCACAACCTCCCTGGGCAGCCTGTGCCAGGGCTCCGTCACCCTCCGAAACCCCATGGATGCTTCCCACTGCACCGGGTCCTGAATAGGTACCACTCTGCTGAGGATGCAGAGGGGAACGGGACTCACCTTCGTCACTTGCTGGACCAGGACAGGGTGGATGGCCGGATCCTGGCCCAGGAGCGCGGTGGCGATCTGCTCACAGTATTGCAGGGCCTGGGCTGGGAGCCCGTGGTCGGCCAGGCGAGAGGCATAGAGGAGCTTGTATGCCTCAGGAGAGGGAAGCAGAGCAGATGTAGGTAAGTTGAGACACTCATGCCCATGAGGTCCCCTCTGCCCTGGCCCTTCATCCCAGCGCGACTCAGAGCACCCCAGGTCATGGGTTTTATCACCCAGGGGTCAACGTGCAACTTGGCGACACCCCATCCATCCTGCTCTGGATGCATGTTTTGGGGCAGGTCTGAGCTGCTGCACCAGACCTGCTGCTGCATCTCCACTACCTGGAAGGGGAGCAGGAAGGCTCCAGGCTGTCGTAGCTGCTGGCAGTACTCGAAGATTTCCATCCGCTGGATGACCTCCGTCCTGGCAAACTGGGTGAACGCCTGACTGTGGAGGAGAGGGGTAGGTTCAGCAAGCAGCAGCAGAGCTCCCTCACTGGGGAAACCCCCCCAGATCCACAGCTCCACCACTGTGCCAGCCTGCAGTTGGAGAGGCCCACAGCAAAGATCACACTAAGAGCAGTAAAAACCCACAAAACAAGGGTTGCTTTTGCACAAAGGTGAAATTCTGGGGCTGGGGAGAAGGTGGCACACATCACCCTGGCAGGAGTACTGCCTGCCTGGGCTCACTCACCGGTGGCTGCTGCCAAGCAGAGCTACGCGGTCTGCCTTCGCCCCGAAGTAACCAAAAGGAATATCTGCCATCAGGTAGCAGAAATGAGCTGCTTCGACAGCTCCCCTGCCAGCTGGATGGGAGGGGAAAAAAAAGAAAAAGACAAACACTTAGTCCAGAGAGAGAGGTCACCATGTGGTCAGCATTGCTTTGGAGACCCCTAAGCCCACGTGAAAACCCAAACCCAACCACCCCACTTTTCTTCCCTGTCCATGCAGACCCTTCTCTTTTTTGTCCGTTTTCCCCAATTGGAGCTTTCTGTGCCTTGGAGGGGGTTTCAGGTCAGTGGTAAGACCAGGGGAGCCTGAGCAGGGTCCAGCTCCAGTTTCTTCTCTGCAGGGCGCCATTGCTGGCATGAAATCCCCAAGGGTCCCCACCACTGGGAGCAAGTCTCAGTCCCTGGGGTCATACATGCCCTCCCTGGGTTCAGGTGCTTCAGGTATCTCCAAAAAAAGCAGCTAATGGATACGTCTGAGCCTGACAGCTCCAGGGATACAGGTGTGCGTGCCCCATTTCAACACTGACATGCATCCATGCCAGCGTGGACATACATGGTGACATTGCAGTGTCCACCCCGCTGTTACAAGACAGCGGAACATAGCTGTCCTCAATGGCCTCAGCTCACCCAAAGTGTCTCCCATGGTGATGATGGCCCGGTGGTTCAGTTCCATGTCTCCAACCTTGTTGGACAACATCACGGCCAGGTGAGGCCTCCAGTCTCCCCATGTGGCATCCCCGCAGCACTGGAGGGAGACAGGAGGAGAGCGGAGGTGAGCAGAGATGGTCACCACAAGACAGGTGTCACAGGCAGGTGACAGCACAGGGGTACACACGCCGGGGACAGCCTCTTGCTCACAGACCAGCGCTGCCTGAGGGATCCTTCCCGACATCAGCTGAAAGAGGGTCTGCAGGGGGTCATTGGTGACCAGCGTGCTGGTGAACCTGTGAGGAGATCGCAGAGGTAGGGCTGCCATGCAAGGACCCCAAAGCCTCATTCACCTCCAAGGGCACGCCCCAAATGCCCCAGGAAATCAGTGTCCTGAGGGGCTTCCTGGAGAATGAAGAAAGGGTCCCCAGCCCACCAGGCTGATGATGTGCACTGCCTTCAGAGCAGGCAAGTCTCCAGGACAATGCTGGATAAAACCTTCTTAAAAGGATTCTGGTTGCACAAGACGGAAAATTTCTGCTTATCTCTCCCTGAAGGGATCAACCCAATGCAGACTCAGTACCTTAATTCCACCAGAAAAAGTTCATCTCAGTGGGATGAACGGTTCAGACCAGGCTGGATCACGATGAAGACTGCTCAGCTCCTCCTACCCCAATGGCTGCCTTTGCTAGGGCAGCAAGCAAGCAAAGCCAAAGACTCAGAATAAATCCACCCCACATCTCCAGGGAATGGCTTTCCTTCTGCTTTCCAGCCCCGACTTTTTTGCCCTGCCCATCAGGAAGCCCAGAGGACTCCAGCCCAGCTGGATGTGTGCCCCCTTTCCCCCTTCAGACCCTCTGAGTGGGTCCAGCAGAAATCAGTGCTCCTTCTCCAGCCCACTGGGGCTGAGGACTCCCGAAGGGATATCAGGCTCAGAAAAGCCTGTCACAAAGCATCGTACCTTGCTTTAGCTTCTCCAGCTTACCCAGTGAGCACCCAGCTGTAGGTCCGAGGGTCCATCTTGCTGGAGAGGAACAAAGCATGGCCCCACAGCTGGTTTCTCATGGCCCAGACCAGAGCATCCTGCAGCCAAGGTGGTGAAGAAAAAGGGCTTGCACTAACCCTTATACCAATATTGCCTTTCCTGGATTTCCAGGTGTGCTGCCTGTTAGGTCTCAATGCCACTCTTGTGGGAACACAGCCTGAGCATCCAAGCTTCTCCGCATCCAAAGCCTCCTCTCTCCCTGTGCCTTGGGTATCCCTTGAGATCACACAGCTGCAACTAAACCCATGCTGCCAGTAAAAGCCTCTGCATCTTGTCTTCAGCCGGGGTCCCATCCCAATTCTCAGTGGTGGGAGACCACTGCCATAAGCCCTATTGTACAAACACAACTTGCAGGGTTGATCCCACAACCACAATTTGCCTCGTGACCACTCTTCCCTTTAGAATCTGCCTGAAGAGGCCAAACAGGCCAAGAAAAAAGTCAGCCCTGTGTCCTGGGATCTTGCTTACCACTTACTTTCTTCCTGCCATAGTAGAGGAGCTTGGTGAACTTCTCCACTATCTGTGCCTGCGTCTCCACAACGGGAGGGACCTCCCCTGTGATGAGGTCCAGTGTCCCTGGCTGACGCGACATCCACTCATCATCCGCCAGACCGATCACTTTGGCCGCAGGGTTTTGTCTCTTGTACTTCTCCCGGCACCTGCAGTCTTGTATCAGCAGCTCAGCCGTGTCCGAGCCCACCATGGACTGCGAGAGGAAAGGCGAAGAGCAAGACCCATGGAGGTTGCCTCGTGAGTGAAGGCTGATGGTACTTCTAGTTCGACACCCTTACACTCATGTCCTCTTACTAGCACATCTCCTCAGCAAGACCAGCCTTGGCCAACAGCATGCAGTTTTAGAGGGCAAAGGATTCAACGCTACTAGTGAGACCTTCACAGCCCTCGCTCTGAAGATCTTATTCATCTGCTTCCAGCAAGCAGCCACAGATTAGACTGGGTGGATTTCATTGGGTTAAGGGCTGGCTCCTCGATGGAGGAGACAACAGTCCTGTTCAGAGGCACTATAGCATCGGGTTGCTGGTAGCTCACAAGGATGAAGAGCAATCACAAAGAAGGGTTTGCTCCAAACATCCAGGCAGTATCAAACCAATTGATGGTACTGCGGGAACAGGGTGCTTTTAAGGTAAACCCCCTGCAAGCAGCAACTGAATCAAGAGCCACATAAGGGGCATATAACTCTTCTCACTTCTAAGACCAAAAGGGTCAGCCCCTTGCCATGGGACGCCTACCCCATTCTGCCTGCAGAGGAGGACCAGCAGTTTCCAGAGAAGAGCTGAATCTCTGCCTCTCTGTGTTGAGAGATCACAGCTCATGGCTATCTTCTTCCGGCAAAACGTCATCACATCCACCTTGTGCAGATCTTCCCTACAGCCGCAAAGAAAGGCATCAAAAGAAACCCAAGGCAAAGCAATCCAGGACATCAGACTCAAAGCATCCCTCAGATTCACTGATGGGGATGCCAAAGACTCAAAGTGAGAGGTGGAGGAGAGACGAACCTCAGTGCCAATGACCACCTACCACATTGGCCACACCATGCTCAAAAATGTTTGAATTCTATCATTATTATGACTTCGCAGATTTGTGCGTTTCAGGGATGCAGAGCGCATGTCAAACCCTCTCTCTGCACTCCTGGTAATATTTTCACCCATCCATCTGCAAAGAACCTCCATTTTGCTTTGCTTTTAGAGCAAAATGGATGTCCAAGTCTGCAGGAACAGGCCCACATACAGACAGTATCTTGTATTTCACTGGCACAGTGCAGGGAAAAGGACACTTGTGACCACATAAACCCTTTGGGTCTGAAACAGAAGCAGGAACATTTAAGCTCTGTACAAGCCAGGCAGAACTGCTGCCTCATAATAAAATAATCAGACAGTTGGAAAGAAAGGGTGGCTGAGACACAAGATCAGCCAGGGGAGAGGGACTGATCCATGCTGATCCTGACCCAAATGCATCAACTTAACATACGGAGATTCCCAATGTCCCCTTTGGCACAACCAGTAATCTCCAGGTCTTCTACTCAGTTTCTGGGCACACACAGCTCTTCTGCTCACTAAACGGTTTTCCTCCTTCTGCACACACATTTTGTCTCCCTGCTTTGGTGATGAGTGAGCAGAAGACACAGTGGTGTAACCAGTACGATACAGAGACAGCCTGATGCAGTGGGCCATGAACCATCGCCAGGCTCACGCTGGATCTGACCCTGCCATGCTCAGTATCAGGGCACAAAAAAACTTAGGAAAAGCTAAACTGCAGGTTGACCCAGGGCTGTAGACATCCAAAGAGATCTCCCCAAAAATCAGTTTTCTGGGATATCAGCACAAAATAGTCAGACATACAAATCACACTAAACCCACACCCTACAAATATTTAAAAAAACCATCTCCCTTAATCCAAACCAACCTACACCGCAGAAAAGGGGCTGAGGTCCAAATCTGAACCTAGATTTTGTCTTTGCAGTTATCTCGAAACCATGAGGACCCCAAAATCTGCCTTGAGTCCCTGTCTCCTCCTAAAGGAGAGGTGCTCCCGGGCCAGCCATGCCAGCACAACCAGGAGGACATAGCTCCTGGACCTGCCCTTGCAGCATACCTGGCCAAGGGCCCCGGGAAGCCCTGTAGCTCCTCCAACTCTTCAGTGTCATGAAGGATTACCTACAAAACAAGTGCAAATTCAGCAGCTGGACTCCAGCAATCAGGCCAGCCCCAGATGGGCTCACTGAAAGTCCATGCCTTGGCATACCTCCAGGCTGTGCAGCTCGACATGGGCTAGCTGGCCCTCGGCAGGGCGGTGGGGACACACCAGAACCAGCTGCCCTCCAGCTCCAAAGCACACCGCCACGTGTGGGAGCGAGAACTTGAGGGGTACCACCAGGGATGAGGTAGACACCAAGGGCACCCCTGCAATGACAGACAGGCCACCATGAGCCCCCTCACCTTGACCCCACATCACCTACACTATGGAGGACGCGACCAGGTCCTTTCCCAACCTTCTCCAGGAAAGGACCAAGCTGCGAGACAGCAAATCTCCTAACACCAGCCATCTATTTCCTTGCTCCCCCTTTTTCAGAGGGGGCCAGGGCTCCATCACGCCTCACCTCCTTGTGTCGGGCTCCAGCTCCCTGGAAGCACAGGGTCATAGTGGTCGGCACCATCACGGATGTACTGGCTGAGCTCATAGCTGCTGGAGCTGAGCCCCGATTCGCGGTACTGCATGAGCAGGCTGGGCTGGCCCAAGGGCTGTGAGGAATGGAGAAAACACAAACCTAGTTGAGAAATTCGGGAGACAGCCACTCTTCTGCTCCCAGAGCAGTGGGACAGGTTCTGCTGCTCCTTGAAAGTGCTCAGCAGGAGAAGCACAGCACGGCTGACTCCCATCTGAGCAGCTCACGCCCTTCAGCATCTTCGGTTCATCACTGGCCATACCCAATGGCTTGTAATTTACATCAGCCACCAGTGCAGCCCCAACATTGACTCCTCAGCACAGCCAGCACATAAGGCTTGGGAACCTGAAAAAACATTGCCCAGGAGCAAAACCAGCACAGCAGCTTTTAATTCGCTCTTGGGAAAACACAGCGACCAGGACACAAGTGTGATGGAGCAGGACTTGGAGGACAGGGCTGACAACAACACACAGCTTTCCACTGCCTAGGGAGGATGCAGGAGAGCATCCCACCAAGCCTGGATCTCTGTCCTGCTCTTCGCCCTGTGTGGGAGCAGTGTACAGCCCCATGCCTAGGGGGGGGCAACAGCCCAGCAGATGGAGAGTTCATAAATACTAATAACCCACTAATAATCCCCAGAGACTGTTCAGCACCAAGTGCAACATAGCCAAGCAACCCTTTTCTCCTCAGCCCCTTTCCCAGCTGGAGAAGGGACTCGTGGATTGCTCCCAAAATCTCTGGGAGATCCCCCAGCCTTTGTCCTCCACCCCTGCCCGTCTCGAGGTTACCTCTCGGGGCTGGCCACCGGCCTCCCCTGAATCGCTGCCAAGGGTTTCTCCCCCTGCCCGCTCAGGCCGGGCAGACAAGACATATCTCTCCTCATAAGAGTTGTATGTCTGTGTCCTGCAGAAGGGAGCAAAAGGAGACACCCTGAAGGTCAGAGATTTTTGGCACCAGCCACAAACGCCTTAATTCTGCAGTAGATGGTGGCACCAGTTGCCGCACAGACCCTCCACGCTTACCTGTCCTGCCCCGGGTGGGTTGTGGCCAGGTTGGGGTGGTAACCCCTGTAGTAGTGCTGGTCCCAGTAACTGGTGCTCTTGCCATAAGGCTCTCCCCGTCTCTGGTCTAGGGAGAGAATTAAGATTTAGCGTTGCCCCTCCAGAGCAACAAGCTGTAATGAAGTTGCAAAAGAACTCCTTTCTTTTTTCCTCCCTCCCATTTTCTTCAGCCCAGGAACTCCAGAAACAGCAAAAGCAAGGCCCTGGCCACCCTGATCAATATCAAACATTCCCTTGGGTGCACCTAGTTCCTGTTCACATTTCTCAAATGCAAACTGAGGGCAGTGTTGTACGGGGAGAATGGCACCAATGGCCCAGGAGTGTGGGCAGAAGAAAGCCCTGGAGATGTGCAAGCTCTGGGAGAAGAACCGATCCTGGACAAAGCATCGCCTCTTCTCCTGCAAGCAAGCTACCTCCATGCCCAGACCCAAAAGAGAAGCCCGTATCTCTGTCACCCTGCCAGGCCACCGGCTGCCACTGCTGGCTTTGGTAGGTGTAGTCATCCCCATAGCTGGCTGCTGGATTCTGCCAGTGGGGGTCTTCATATCCTTGCCTGAAACACAAAACAACACACTCAGTCTGAGAAAGAAAAGGCACCTCTGCGGGTTCTGGACAACGTCTCAGGTTAGACTCGTGCCCCAGACAGGACCTTTGGAGGCAGAAAGGGTGATGGAAATACAGCCAGGTCCCCTGCTCAGCAGCAGGGCCAGAAGCTGCTCCAGGATCATGCCTGGAAGGAGCAGCAGGAGGTTTGGATCCTTTCCCACCCTCATCTACGAGAAAGCTGTGCACTGCAGTTTCCGGAGATGCCCAATCTCAACTCAGCGATGTGGACTTGTCACAGGGATCAACTTTCACTCCCCTTTTAGGACAGGCCCCCCAAAGGCACCTTCTCCACCAAGCTTTGGAGCCGCCATGTCCACTACATGGCTCAGCAGGTCTCACCCCTGCGCCAGAGCCCAGCCGAACCCAGACCCAAGCCACCCACATACCCGAACCCTTCACAACTCACACAGCAGCCTCCCCTTCCCAGGAGAGCACCGCACAGCCTCAGCACTGAACCCTGAGCATTCACCCCAGCACTCGCCAAGGGCAATAACTCAGGCAGATCAACCCACGTTTGCTCGAGCGCTCGAAGCTCTTGGCACCGGGAGCATCCTCTAGCCCGCATTTCATCCTTCCACCCTCCGCTGTTTCAGCAGCTGAGCTTGCAAGCTCCCTTTTGCTCCTCTATTAACATTTTTATGTTTATTGTTCACCTTGCACTTGGTAAAGAGCTGCATTTAATCAAACCTTCAAGAAAAACGCACCTCGGGACTGAGATGAAGCCTGTAAAACGGCAACCACAGAAGTCACAGCTGTACAAAGAAATCGGAGCTGCAACTGCCGCGCAGCCTTAAATATAGACGTTATCGGCTGCTGCGACATCTGGACATCACCTAATCGCTCCTTGCCTCTCTGAGCCTGCGGCTGGTGGATGCTCACCACTTTGCCCGCACCGTGATGAGGGCAGCACCCGGTTCGCAACCCCACAAGAACGGTGAAGTGGTCAAATCTTCTTTTAAAAGGGTTCACGAGGAGGGGAGCTCAGCAGGAGCACGGCAGGGGGAGGCAGCTCTCACCTGGAGTACGGCCTGTTGGGGAAGCCGCTTTTGCACTGCTCAGCCCATGAAGCCGGTCTGTGGGCATCCCTCCAGGGGTGGTGGCCGTGGTCCCAGGGGTGGCCGGGGACATGGCCCACATCCCAGGAGTCGGGGTGAGGCGGGGGCCCTGCGCGGAGGAACTGCCACCTGGGCTGTGGTGGGGGCCCATGGGGAGCCTTTCGCCATCCCCGGGGATGGGGTGGCCGGGACGGGGACCAGGTGTCCATCACGAGCTTGGCAGCAAGACCCTCTCTGGTTTTGGGGTGGGGGGTCAAATCCCAAATGGCTGTAGTGGCCTGTAAGCAATGAGATAAACCACAGTGTGGTTGATCAGCAGATTTTCACCCTGCTCAAAGTCCCCCATGAAGCCTGTTGTCACCTGCTCTCCGCTTCTGGGGGCTTGCTGGAAACCCAGCATCCTTTCCAAAATGCCCAGAGACGAGGAAAAGCCATCTCCACACCTGTCTAAGCTTGAAGCTCCCCATAAAACACCAGGATAAACCGGTCCATTTCTGAAAGCAACAGGCATCTGTCTCTTCCTGGAGCGAGAGGCAGCGTCCTCCTGCACCCCCAGCCAGCCCTGCAAAGCAGCACCGCTTGCAGCCTCCCCAGGCAGGTGACAAATAGGCTTTACCTCTGTGACGAGGCAGTGAAACCCCATTTTATACGTGGTAGGGGAAGAAGCATTGGCAAAGCAATGGGCAGGACAAGGAGAGTTATTCTCAAAGAAACGCGCAGGGATGGAGGCAGGGAGAAATGGAGCTTTGCTCACGCGAGCTATGAGATGGGGTGGAAGCAGATACTTCCTCCTGCCTTTCAGCTCCAGCAAGGATACAGCAGCTCAAGCGGCCACCTGATTTACTTCTAAAGGTCCCACGCAGAAGAGGAAACCCTAAGGAGAGCCCAGGACAAGGCGTGGGCGAAGCCCCAGCTGCCGGGGAGGGGGATGCCACCCTCAGCCCCCGCCCCCACCCCGTCCCCTCTTGCAGCATCGGTACCCAAACTGCCCCCACAAAGACTCACGAACCTCCCTGACGCAGGCAGACGGTGAGACGCTGTCTGAACCACTCGTCACCCCCCTCACACCTAGCATTTAAGGCATTTTGGGATCATTTCAGGGCTGGGGGGGACCACATGCTCCTGTCTGAACAGAGGCAGCTTGGTTTGTGCCCCTTCTAGGCGAAATCGGGGTTAAATCCTTGCCCTAAATAGCCCCCAGGCACAAGCATCCGGACACCCATCATTCCTGTCGCCCTAATTTTCGTCCCGGGGGGGTTTCCCACCACCACAGCCGCACACACCTGCTCGGAGCCCCCCGGGGCCCTTCTTCCGCTCCCTGGGTGCTGCTGCCAAAGTCCACTGCCACATGTGCCGCCGGCCACCGCGGCGGGCAAAGGGCAGCCTCCGCTTCTCCGCCCTGACCGACGACTCCCGGGAGGGGTTTGTCCCGCTCTCTCCATCCCTGAGGGTTACCTTCCTCGTCATTTGTGCCTCCTCTCACAAGAGCAATGGAGCACGCAGCCCTCCGAGTGCAAAAAAAAGATATTTATCCCTTGAGGGTTTTTTTATGTCATAAGTATCCTCCTCTATACATCCTCATGCTTTCTAAATAGTAATAAATAAAACTTGAGCTGTTGGGTTAATCCGGACCCAGACGCCTCATCTCGAGCCGCTGCCCGGAGCAGAATTGGGATGGGATGGAGCTGGGGTCAGACCCATCACTGCCTCGTCCAAGTCCTTATAGTGCAGTAATGGCCTCATCCTAGAAGTGACCAGGCATTCATGCCTGGAGACCCTCTCCCAAACTCCCCCAGGATCCTTTAAAACCTAAAAAGAATTAGAGCAAACAGCATTATAGAAAATCGCAGTAAAAGCTGGATATAGGAGCCAGCATCTTCCACCCAGCAGCCTAGCAACGTGCCACCCTCTCCCCCCTGGCCAGGGTTTCCTAACCCCTGAAGCCACCATTTGCCAAGTGCCAGCAGCCAGATTTCAGCCCAAGGGCAGCATCGAGGAACATGGGATGACCAGCAGAAAAAGGGCTTTTCTTTTTTTTTTTTCTTCTTTTTTCATACCCTCATAGTCATGGCTTTCCCCAGATTACCTCCACCATGACAAGGCAACACCAATTGATTTGGATTCACAGGCAGGATCATATTCTTTGCATTGTGGTGGAAGACCGCATATGTTATAGCTTCAGAGCTTGAAATTTCCACCCTACTGGGAGAGTGAGAAATTTTCCCTGGTGATCCTATGAAACAAGCGCTCGGTCTCTGCAGAATTCAAGGTTTCAAATAAAAAAATATCCTTAGCACTCAGCCGCACCCAGAGCCGACTGGAAGAAAAGCAGACCAGGGAAGCGCTGTCTTTGTGCTGCCAAGCCGCTTTGGCGGAAGGGAATTAAGCATCTCCCATCCATTTTGTAGCTGCCCTTCAAAGCTTTGGGAGGCTTTGAACAAAGTAAAAGGTCTGTTATGGACAGGTCAGGTCTTCTGGGAAAGCTGGAAAGGATCCCTAGGGACCATGAGCATCCCACTTTTTTCATGTATAAATATATATCGTACTTCCACTTGGCTGCTGGCTAATAATTGTAGGTTTTTAGCCAAGAGGTGACTGCTGGATGTTTCCAACCCATTTTCTAGCAACCAGACAAATTTATACTGGGAACCTGCAAGGTGAAGAGGCCAAGAGCAGCCGCAGCTCCTCGGGCTGCCGTTGCCAGCCAGACCTGGGGGATTCGGCTTGCGGGGAAGACTCGAGAGCTTGACTTGCATAAAAGCAGCTGCAACTTGTGATGTTGGTGTTTGAGATGAGTGTAGATGCTGTACTGGTCCATGTCAGAGAAGGAGGCATAAGAAACACTGCCAGCAATGTCAAGCTTTGAGCAAAAGTGGCTTAAAACAGACAGCTGGGGAACACCAGCTTGAAAGAAAAAGCAGAAAAGTGCATTGGAGAAGGAGAGAGCTATGGGAGGGTGCTGGGAAATGAAAAGTGAAGGAACTAAAAACAGAGATAAAATGACCAGATGGGCTAGAAGGATGGAAAGAAAAGGATAACCCTTTGACCACATCGCCTCTAGCCAAGAAATTTCTATTTTAAAAGGATTCATAGCTTTCTTGGAAACCCAAGCTCTGTGCCACAGGACTGCCATCCAGCTTGCAGGACTATGGCAAAGCTGGCAGCACGCGCTGTAGACAGCATTTGTCAGACAGAGCTGAAGGGACAGCAATATCTCTTTAAAAAAATCGTATTTTTCCACTTTAAAAGGCTTCACTGCTGTTGTCACAGTAACAAGATTAGGTGGAAAATATTTTTCTTCATGCCCTCCGGGTGTTTGAGCAGCGTGTTGGGGCTCCGCTCACAGCCAGCCCCGGACTCTTGGGCCAGTCCCCCCCACACCAAACCTAAGGGGTGAAAGTAATTAGCCAAGCCTTATCAGAAATCTTTGTAATCTAAGAGGCAAAATCCAAGCAGCTTCAGTACTGGAAGCTATTTTTACGTGATTTATGTTGTTTCTAATTGGTTCTGAGATGAGATGATTACTTTTTTTTAATGGCATCAATGGGAAGCTTTCTTCATCTCCAAGCTTTAGCCCCATAGAAATGCGAGGTGTATCCACATGCTTTTTTTGTGGAGATGTGTTAAGCATCATGTCACAGCACAGGGGAGTTTGAAAGGGCTGGCTACACCTATGAGAAAAAAAATTGACACCAGCTCATCTCTCATCACATCTGTGGGGCGAAAATGCAAGTGGTAAATGAGCTACATAAAACGCGAAAACTCCTTAAATATTCTATGCAGTGAAAAAAGCAGCCCTGAACACGCTGCCAGTGTTTGAGACGTTTGACAGCGTATTCCATGTCACACAGACCACCAAAACTCAAACCACCCAGGAAACCCGGGGTTGCCAGGTTCCCAGGCAGGCTGAGCACCCACACCAGCATGCAGAGAGCCCCTTACCCCTCCCTCAGCCTCAATGCCAGCTAATTAACTAATTAGCTTGATCACTCCTGCCAGGCTTACAGGGACAGAGTGGTAAGAGCTCCTGCTCCTGCTGGGGGTGGCAGCTGGGGCCTTCCCAGGCTGGGGACATCCCAGTGGGAGGAAGGTGGTGGCTCCCCAAGCTGCTGAGATCACATCTGCTCCTACCCGCAGCCGCTTCATTAGCTCCATCGTGTGGATTTGAGCCAGACAGCCCGGCTCTGCTGTCTACATTTTCCTATCGCCAGTTTGTGTGCTGAAGTCGTCACCAACAGTTTCGCACCTTTCAGCCCTGCATTGGGTTGTTTCCAGCTTCGAGGGGCTGAGCCATCCCTCCCCACCACCTCCCCGCACACACGCAATCACGTTCAGCAACATCCAGACCCGCCTAATGATTTTTTGAGGCTTAGGCAAGAATATTAATTGCATTCCAGAGGCATTCAGCATACCACAAGTTAAGAAAAAGCATTTTACACCCTGCACCATATCCAATGAAGAAGCAGAGCTGCACAAATCTATTATTTGTGAAAATCAAAGGACATCTGTACCGAGATGTCCCCAGTCTGGCTGCGATGGAAAGGTAACTCCAGCCTCCCACGTGAGCTCCTACTACAAAGCAAGCCCCAAAAAACTTTGAATTCTTTGCCTTACTTCATTCCCATCTCATCAAAACCTCTCAACTCTTGGCTGTGAATGCTAAGCCCTTGCTACTGGCATCCCCCACGCCGAAAGGAAAGGCTGTGCTGCTCCTGCGTCCTGTCACGGCAGGCTCTGCCACATCATCCCACCGATCTCGACCAGTCACTGGAAGGGATTGGGATGCACGAGGGCCAACAGAGACACAAAAAGGGATTGGGATGCACGAGGGCCAACGGAGACACAAGAGCTAAACCCAACAGCATCAAGGAGGTCAGAGAGCTTTCAGTATTCAGGTCCTCTCGTTTTTCTGTGCAACGCCCCTTCTGTTTCCCCAGCCATAAAATTGATGTTTATCTGGCTGCTAACTGCCTTACAGATATCATTACACATTGCAAATTCAACCATTTGCAGATAAAATGAGCACGAGCAGCCTGGAAGCTGTCACACCGCCCTTGTCGCCTCGCCATATTGCAACGCGTTACAACCTTTAAGCTGAAAATTAACATATAAAACCCAGAGGCCTGGAAATATTCGCTGGGCAAAGAATGAAAACCAAGCAGAGGTAGTTCCTCCGCCCGCCCCCACCACCCCCTGCTCAACCAGGGAAAACTAATTTTCAAGCAAAATGAGTTCTGAAGCTATTCTTGTGGCATTAAGCACAAAAAACAAGAGGAAGTTATTCTTCCTTGTCTAAAAATCTCCTTGCTATATGAAATGTCCCTCTGGACCCGTGTCTGCTGGAAGATATGGAGGAGACAGAAGGCAAAGAGGGGGATGCAGATGTCAAAACGAGCCCCAGAATAAACACCAGCGGCTACAACTGCTGCACCTCGCAGCGTGCGTGCTGCAAATGAGCAGGGGAGGGATGCTGAGCTGCTCTGGATCGAAACACACGACCAGGGCTACCAGCCATGCTTGTGCTGATGCCATCAGAGATTTCCACCTCAGAATCGCAGAATGGTCGGGGTTGGAAGGGACCTCTGTGGGTCACCCAGTCCAACCCTCCTGCCGAAGCAGGGTCACCTACAGCAGGCTGCACAGGACCTTGTCCAGGCAGGTCTTGAATATCTCCAGAGAAAGAGACCCCCCAACCTCCCTGGGCAGCCTGTGCTAGGGCTCTGTCACCCTCAGAGGGAAGAAGTTAGAGCCCACACACTTTAAGGCTCCTTTGCTGGTGGCCACGGATGGAGCAAGCTGGGCACAGGCCCTTTCCCAGGGTCTCTAGCAAGCACCAGAGCAAAGAGAACTGACAGCTTGGAAATCTTTAGCCCTGAGATATTCCAGGGTGTCCTTTTGAGAAGATTGCCATCTTGTGTCTTTTCAGACACTTGAATGTAGGTTGCCTTCATATTTGAGACCACAGGTCTCATTCAGGAGCTCTATTACACACGATCAGGGACAATAAAGACCCTTGACAGTTACAGATGGCTTTGCTGTGTCTTGTTCTTAGTGCTACCTTGTAAAGTTGGACAGTATTGTTTCCCTCATTTTTTTTAATCTCAGTTTATGACTCCTCTACCATGAAAAGACACTTATGCCCTCCATGGTTGCATGTACCATATCCTTCAAGGCTGGTAAATCACAGTCTCGAGTCATGTCAAATTTTGCAAAATAAAGCTAAATTGCAGTTGTCCTCTAAGGCAAGAAGCCATAAAATTGAGAGAGAACGAGCTCTGTTTAAAGCCAGAAATCTGGCCGGCAGCCTCCCACAGTGCGCAGGGGCAAGGATCACCAAAAACCTTTAAATGAAAGAGAAATGTCTGATGTAAGAGATCCCATGGGTCCCTCTGTGCCATCCCGACAAGCGGCCACCATGGCTACTTCTACGGTCTAATGGCAAGAGTTAAACATGTTCTAAACCCACA